ATTAGGAATCAAAATGCAGATGCGTTGTCACCCCTGAGGACTAAGATGAAATGCCTCGTTTCAAGTGAAAAGGGTTTCCGCTTTTACACTGACCATGCGAAACACAGCAGCATTAAGCTGCTATTTTACGTTGGTATTCCGTGAGAGCGTGGTATTTCCCCGGTCGAGCCGACCCATTTGTGCTACAACCATAATATAATTGCAGCGTGGCTCTACCGCGTAAAAATAGAATAGTATAGAATATAAACTATGAAAACAACTAAAGAAAAGAAGTTGTATCATTAAAACGACCCCAGACAGTCTTGTCGGTTCTTCTCAGAGAAGGTCTTGTTTTGTCAACCAGTACATTTGCCGTGAATTGAATAAAATTGTTTGAATTTAATTTTGACTTTAAAAAGAAACTAAAGTCTAAAATGATCTAATTATCCTTCTCCCCGCGATATTGTGCCAAAAACGCTAGCTGCGTTTCCTCCAGGATTACTAAATTGAGCCTTTGAGCAAGAAAACACCACCCCTCTGGTTTCCAGCAGCGATGATCAGTCGCGGGTTCAGTTTCTAAAAACTTTACTACTACAAATGACATAAATAGAAATAGAAGCTTTTTTATTCAATATAGATTATATTTAATACTTATTGAAAGTCACTCTTATGTTTAACTGGTTCTGAAAAATCCTCTTTTGTTCTGGGAAGAACCAGCAAGAAACTCAGCGGAACATTTTTTTTTAAATAACAGAACAATTTACAATCTTTCAATATGTTACACAATAATAAATAACAACACAGAACAAATCAGAAATACCTTGCCTGGGGTTATTGTCATCCATAAATTCTTTAATATTATAATAACCCTTTTTATAAAATATTTGTTCAATTTTTTTTTTAAATTTAGCGGTAGTCAGATTTCGGATATTTTCTGGGATGTTGTAAAACCATATACATCGCCCTAAGAATGAACTTACTGACTCTGTGGACTCAAGTAACTGGTAATCTATACAAATAAATAAGATTGGAGTGTCTGTTTGTAATGTCAAAATTATAGCTTTTAACTAAATGCATATGAAAGTATATACGGTAGTAATAACAAAAATACAATTTTAAAAGTTTTTGTCTGTCTGTCTGTTTGTTCCGGCTAATCTCCGAAACGGCGGGACCCATTTTGATGAGATTTTCACTGGCAGATAGCTGATATCACAAGGAGTAAATTAAGCTACCTTTATTTTAGAAAAAGGATTAGGGTTCCGCGCAAAAAAATTAAAACCCCAAATAACACGCGGGCGAAGTCGCGGGGAACAGCTAGTAAAAAATATGTAGTCATCTCTCAGAGACTAATTGCGCCATTTACTCAATAAAAATATATTCAGAAAACAAAACTTTTAACATAAAAGACAGCACAAACACTCGTAGCCTTTGTTATTTATCTATATTAATAATTACTTCCGAACGTAGCCCCCAAGCCTGTATACAGCCTGTATGAAACTCTTAAGGCTGCCAGTCGCTCTGGTGACTTACCCACTGGGAAGGGAAGAATATATATTGATTCATTGTTAAGGTGCCCTTGACTCAAACACAATGTCAACCAATTCGATATCTTCACAGTCTTATCCTGTTTTTGCTAAGAACTCTCCAAATTTTGCTCTTTCAATAATTTATTAATCGAAATACTGTCTAATATTAATAATATTTTATTGTCCACGAAGAAACGGAGAAGATAACGTTTATATTTAAGGATATTTGCTTGCAAATGAATGTTCCAATTTATTTTCAAAACGGTTTGACCAATTTAGATAAAGTTTTGCAAAGGATTTGAGACTATAAGCGATGGTTCTTAGATAGGTGTTCTTGTATTACATTTAAACAGTACTCATAACTACAATCATTTCAATATCTCTTCTAGCGTTCTTAGCTATGTACAATATTGCTAGGAACGCGAATTTTTAAAAATATAATAAAATTGGCCTCACCTATTTAGATAGGATTTGCCGTAATTGCAAAGCTTGGCAGATTGTTTGGCAATCGCAGTACCAGGCCTGTGACTCTACTTCCCCACATTAATAACATAGACCTATCACTCGACTTATGCAATAATTGTATTTTTTCAATAAACAATTTCAGTTATTACAAGTTGATTATACTTCGATCGTTACAAATATTTTAGAAGTCTAGCCATCCCGTACTAAATAACCGCAAGTTGCATTAACATAAAGTACTTAAGTAGTCTAATGTTGGTAAATTGCACAGCGCACATATTTGTAAGACTTGAATTGCAAAACTTTTTCTCAAGACAAACCTGTTGTGTCAAAATTTAAGCGGCATTTATATTAAAGTCATTGACGCTTACCATAGAGATAATATAGCAGTGCAACTTAATCTGGCTTCATCTGACTTTAGTACGCGAGCGCAGTACTCTAGTATATTAGATTTATTACGTAATATGTCACATAAACCATATAGCGGCGGTGTAAGAATATCCACTACCCCATGTCCACTCGTGTGTATCGTAAGAGGCATCTTCCTTTTTTTTTTCATCTTCCTTATAACGACTCAAAATAATTAAAAACTCTGTTGGTACTCTCCTGCCGAGTGGGCCAATTATGGCCGTGTATAGAATGTGGTAGCAGGCACTAAGCATTTGCGAGCAACGGCTCCGTGGCGCAATTGCCTAATTAAAGCATATTACTATAGTTTTATAATCTATAAACATGTTGTGATTTCGAGGCACTCAAGGTGACGATTCCGTGGCGTGGTGCACTGGCTTAGCAATAAGTTGCAGCGTTAAGAACTGCGGGTTCGAATCCTGCACGGGACAAGTATTTGTATGGCCTACAAATAATTGTTCCATATCGGTATTTTTGTCCTTATGTAAATAGCCCCCAAAGATACATGAGAAAATCTTGGTATGGAGGTAACGTTTCTTAAAATAAAACCACCAATAAAATTGTGTTTAAGTGCTAATTTACCACATGATAGGAGTGAGGTAAAAATCGTAAAAAAAAAACACCTAGATGTCTGAGAAATTAAATATTTCAAGGACATATGCATGGACGATCTCCAACACACACCCATACAATGCGGCGAAATAATTACTCAATAGACCTGATCTATATGAGATGTAAGAGTGGATTGTATATCCACTGGTCGCTGTTTCAAATCCGGCTCGAAGGACCAAAAATGTTCGGGTATTGGACGATTATTCAATAATAATTCTACAAGTGAAAAATATAAGATTAATATACGGTAAATTATGTTAAATGTTATATGCTATGTTAATGAGTTCGCATCCGTCGCGGTTAAGGTAAGGTAATACGTGAACTAACGCAATTTTTATAATTGTCAAACTGTAGTGATTGCTTTGCGTAAAATGTTAACGCCAGCAGAAATGGACGGTTGAACCGTACATGCCCAGCTGTGGGATGTATACAGGCTGTCTTATTTTCCAACGTTAATTTGCATGATTTTCTTTTGTTTGGAGTGATTACTCAATGGATTGTTTAGAGTTAAGCCAATATTAATGTAAAAATATTTTTTTAATATTGTGTATTGACTGCCTCGTTAGTCTAGTAGTCATAAGCGTGACTGCTGATTGTGTTGCGGGCATTGGTACGAATCTCGCGTCAATCCAAAAAAAAATCGTTTAAGTTGGCGACATTTTACCCTCGTATCTCCACGTAAAACCGATTGTCATGCTCCTGATTTCTCTCCGGTCGTGTGTGATTGCCGTTCTATCAATCTGTGAGATCTAGAGTGAGGGAATAGAGAGTGCACCTGAGCTTGCGCATACTCGTGCACTATACTTTAGTCCCGCGCAGATGCCTAGTCTCCGCAGAGAAGGGCTAAGGAGGGCTAATAATCAGATGTCGCTAGTTTGGACTAAGGTGAACTTATTTATTAAGTAAGTGATCACACAGATTCAGCATCATTAAAAGGTTACAAGTTTTTTGATTTCTAGTATGTTATACATTTTACAAAACAATGCCTCAGTGCTGTAATGTTTTTTTTTTCTTCACATTGTAATTTTTATATTTCTTGTACTTTTATCCCTAGTTTGATTCATCTATTTCGAATTTAATTAATTTAAATTATAGCTAATATTTCAGAAATAAACCTAACTTTACACTTTTCCCCGCTATGAAATCTGTCAAATATTTCGCGTCATTACAAAGTAGTCGCCGATACTCTATTAAAGTCATATAACGAACTTACACGTAGTAGAGCCATGCTGCAGCTATATTAGTAGTATAGTTGTAGCACGAATGGTTCGGCTCGACAGGGGAAGGACCACGCTCTCACAGAATACCAGCGTAAAATAGCAGCTTAACACTGCTGTGTTTCGTATGGCGAGTGTAGACAACCGGAGACCCTTTTTACAGGAAAAGGCATTATTTACATCTTATTATTACATCTTAGTCCTCACAGGTGACAACGCATCTGCATTTTGATTCGCATACGAGGATAAATTTAGATGTCTATGGGCCACAGCAACCACTTACCATCAGGTTGACTGTGTGCTCGTTTGTCAACCTATCCAATAAAAAAAAACTACTCTTCTCATTTGACACCTACCACTTTACACCAATCTGCCGGCCAATGTGACGATTGTGGCAAATCTTACCCACTAGGGGAGAGACTTATGTCCAACTGTGGACTTTTACAAAGTGGTGATGAAGAAGAAGAACTACAGTATAAGTGTTTGGCCGTGGCCGTTCTCGGCCAGGGTAGCAACCAACACTCCGTATGATAGTACAGAGCTATTTATACACACCGCAGTACTTTCGGAACTTTGATAGCGTGATTTAGGCTTCGGTGCGTTTTGCTTGTGGCATGATGACAACGCCGCCACAAACGGTTAAGTAATTTCCCAATAATGAACATATATCATTTTATCTTCACGTCTAGGTGTGTGTCGTTCTCCTTGCTGCTATCGCCATCGCAGCCCCTGAAGGCAAGCGTGATAAGCGCGGTTTCTTGCTCGGAGGCTCCCATGGATACGGTGGATACGGCAGCATTGGCGGATACGGTGGTGGCTTCGGCGGATACGGTGGTGGTTTTGGTGGACACGGTGGGGCTATCTTCGAGTCTGCGCCTGCAAGAATCGTGTCCGTCCACAAGGTTGTCGAAGTACCAAAGGTAAACTAAAACTATAATTCAATGTGAGACTGGAATAGTCTTTTATTCCAGTTTTTTTTTTTACAGCATAAGGGTGACAAACGAGCACACAATCCATTTGATGGTAAGTGGATGCTTTGGCCCATAGACATCTACATTCATCCTCGATCAAGCATCAAAATAAAGATGTGTTGCCACCCTTAAGGACTAAAATGAAATGCATCGTTTCCAGTAAAAAGCTGTAAGCTGTAATGGTATGGTAATTGTAATCCTCCCTTAGTCGGGTCATCCTACAGCCATAATATAGCTGCTGTGTGGCTCTTCCACGTATAAATTTGTTTGAATTGTAGAATACGTAATATGAAATAACTTTTTATTTTATTTTCAGGTAATAACCGTCAACAAAGTGGTGTCTGTACCTAAGGTAGTATCCGTGCCCCATATCGTGAAGGTGTCCAAGATCGTGTCAGAGCCCGTGCACTACTCCTCCGGCTGGTGGTGAAGGCAGTGTCCTCTAGGCTACTTAGAACCAAATGTATTGTACCATATAGTTTAATATATTAATTTTTTATTTCTTTGTTACCTGTTGCATTTTATTTATTTAACCTCCTGTAATTGAAAAAATAAAAATCTTCTATCGTTTTCGCTTCTACAAGTAAGATAAGTAAGTATATAAGTTAGAAGATTCACTCTTAAAACAGTTTTTACGTGCTTGAGCCACGCTGCAGCTATATTACGAGTATGGTTGTAGCACGAATGGGTCGCTCAACCGAGGTAGGACCACGCTCTCACAGAATTTCAGCTTAAAATAACAGCTTGATACAGCTGTGTTTCGTATGGTGAGTGTAAAGAACTGGAGACCCTTTTTACTGCAGACGAGGCATTCCATCTTAATTCACAGGATTGACAACGCATCTGCATTTTGACTCTTAATCGAGGATAGATGTATATGTCTACGGACCTTAGCATTCACTAACCATCAAGTGGACTGTGTGCTCGTTTGTCACCAATATTTTGAAAAAAATTAAATATTGACCAAATCCATGTATGTGTATTCTTATTTAAAAACCGTGTAGTGGCGGTGTATGAATACACACTACCCAATATCGTAAGAGGCGACAAACGTAAAAGACTAGGATAGAAGTATGAGTAATTATGAAAAATTTGGTAAATTATGGATAAGCCTATGTTTTTGACTTTTGCTAGGCTGTGATGGTAATTATACTCATAAAAAAATCATATAGAGAACGTAGGAAGTAAGTTGAGCAGCTTTTGCTATGCCCTGCGCGAGCTACGTAAGGACACATACGAGCAGTGTGCGCTTACTGCGTACCACAGTCACGCCGCCGCCTGGATCAGATACGGCATCATATTCTGGGACAATTCTACCGAGGGGCACGTGGTATCCGTGCTCCAAAAACATTGATTGCATTCGTAGCTCCAAGAGGATCATGTCGAAAGTTGTTCCCTAGATAAAACTTATTAACTGTAACGTGCGTATATATTTTTGAATTATGCCGCTTTGTTAGGAAAAATCCTTATTATTTTCAACGAATTAGGGATAGACCCAATCGATACGGCGCACGTCACCATGGTTATAACCTGGTTGCTCCTACCGCACATCAAAAAGGTCCCTACTAAATGGCTATAAGGATTTACAACCATTTACCCAATACTATAAAATCCCTACATCGTCGTAAATTTGAAATAGAACTTAAGAAAATGCTTATTGTAAAAAGCTATTATAATTTGAATGAATATTTTAATGAAAAATTATATATTTAAATTATTTTGACAAAATTTATTATTTCGATCTACTTATTTAACATTGTTAATAATTTCATCAAAATTTAAAATCTTATTTACATTAATGATAAATTACCAATAGATGAGATGAAATATTTATTGACATTTCATTTGAAAATAAATGTGTGTATTATTTAGTTTGATATTTAATAAATTAATTAATAATAATGTATAGATTATTTACTGTAAATATTGTAATTTAAATTGATTTTAACATTTAAACTCCGTCTTAATATGCTACGCCCGTACAGGGTTGTCACATGCTCTGTAAATATATTGTAACAACTTTTTGACATGCAATAAATGTTGATCCTCCTCTCAACATAAGAAGACAATATCTTTCAGATAGATCCTTCTTTAAGGTCTGTCAACTCTCTTCTCATCCCCTAATTCCCAGGCTAAACCTCCTCTCAGAATTCCAATCTTCAAGTAGGTACTGGCTCCATAAAGATTGTCCACATTTAATTAATAGCTTAGTAACATTTCTCCAAATTCCTGGGCCCATTTTCTCATTCAATACAAGTCCACTCTTTAATACTCCTTTTGAAGCTATTATATATCAAGCTAACATTCACCTCGAACTAGATATCAGAAAAGGTTCCCCTGGGGCAGAATTAAAATTAAAAGAAGCCATAGGGAAAAATTGGAAAGATTGGATGACCATGTATACAGATGCATTCAAAATTACTGATGATGGCTGTAATGGTGCAGCCGTCTGGATCCCCAGGTTTAAAATGATCCTTAGCTTTAAGTGCCCTTCATTATGTTCCATTTTTACTGCTGAGACAATTGCAATCCATGAAGCTCTGCTATATGTTGAATCACATAGCCTAGACAGGACAGTGATTTTTAGTGATTCTAAGAGCTTTTTATCTGCTATTTTCGCTAACCAATTTTTTTTAATTAAAAATACTAGTAATGCTATTAAACATTACTAATATTCCCTTTAACCACTTCTGGTAAGCTTAAAATGCTTGTGTTAGAAGTGGTTATCGACAGTAGTCGAATGGCGGATTCGAACCCACGACCTTTCGAGTTCGCGGTCCACGCCCTGCTATTAGGCTACTAACGCTTACAAACGATAGAAGATTTTTAGTGATTCTGAGAGCTTTTTATCTGCTATTTTGGCTCACCAATTCCAAAGTAAATATAAATTTCCCCTAACCATATTTCCATTAACCATATTTCCATTTCCACTAACCATATTTTTTTTAACTGCACCAAACTATCATCATCTCTTTACGATTATCTGCCCCCTGACATCCCTCGTCCCATAGACTAACTCCCTTCTAATCTTCACAAATACCTCTTTTGTATATATTTTATGTGATTTTATTAATTCTTACAACATTCAACTGTAATTTGTTTGTCATATAATAACACATTAGTATTGTTTTAACAACATTGTCTGTCTTTTGTTTTAGGTAATTCAACAGGTAAGTTGACCAAAATCATTCACATAATATTCGTTTTACCATTTTTTGTATTATCAATTTCTCCTTTTTAAGCAGAGTTTGTGTCCCAATTAAACCTTTTCGCATGTAACATGTCATTGGCGAATTCATCGTAACCGCCATAAAGGAAGAAAAAGAAAGACATGCAATTTTTTTTAAACGTTACCCCCACACTAGGATTTTCTCCTGTGTCGTGGAGGCAGTTTACAAACATAAATTGCACAAGGACAAACATACAGACCCGGAACAATTATTTGTAGGCCATACAAATACTTGTTCCTTGCGGGATTCGAACCCGCGGCCCCCAGCGCAACAACTGATTGCTAAGCCACTGCGCCACGGAGCCGTCATCAAATGAATTATAATTAAATGTTTCAGCTTCCCTCTATCGTCTCTTACTCACAGGACGTTTACATAAGAGAATGCGCTGCTCCTTATCATTAAATTAAAATAAAATGTTTACCATAGCATAGGGATAGTGCACACTGGGGAAGGGCGGGATGTGCCCTTCAAACTAGGTAAGACACATAGTTTTATTTTATTACGTGGATCTTAGCAATTTATTTTTAATTTTTAATAAATATAATATAGGTTATCCAATTTTTATAAATGATTTTTATCCAAAGAATAATGTTTTAATGTTGCTATATTAATTTTTTAACGTGGTAGAGCCAATCTGCAGCTATATTAATTGTATAGTTGTAACACGAATGGGTCGGCTCGACCGGGGAAAGACCACGCTCTCACAGAATACCAGCGTAAAATAGCAGCTTAATGTTGCTGTGTTTCGTATGGTGAGTGTAGAGAAACGGAGACTGGACTTTTACTGAAAAAGAGGCATTCCATCTTAGTCCTCAGGGCTGACCACGCATCTGCGCTTTGATTCGCAAACGGGAATAGATGTTGATGTCTATTGGCCACAGCAACCACTTACGAGTACCATCAGGTGGACTGTGTGCTCGCATGTCACCCTGATTCTATAAAAAAAATTAACCACTTCAAATGATAACATCGACTATTTTCATAACTATTTGCTTATGATGTTAAAGTTCCTCATGTTTACACTTAAACTTTCTTACTCCATGTGATTACAATGTCGCAAGTAAACGAGATACTATGTTGCGAGATCGTATAATATCGCTAAAATTATGCATTCAATCCAAGATCATGCGGCAATGTACGCGCCATTGGCGTATTCGCCTACTTAAACCATGTTATTATAGTTTTATAATCTGTAAACATGTTGTGACCTCGAGACACTCAAGGTGTCGGCTCCGTGGTGCAGTAGGTTAAAGTTGCAAAGATAAGAGCCGCGGGTTCGAAACCCGTACGGAACAAGTATTTGTATGGCTTACAAGTGATTGCTCCGTGTCTGGACGCATGTCCTTGTGCAATTTACGTATGTAAACTTCATCCACGATACACGAGATATTCGTAGTATTTGGGGTAACGTTTTTAAATCTTTTCAGTATTTAACTTATTCTGCTTATTATTTACTTAATTTATTCATTTTGACGCTAGAACAACAAAGTTTAACTTTTTATTACCCGACTGCCCCAGAAGAAGGTTAATGTTTTCAAGAGTATGTATGTGTATGTCTATTTCTTTGCCACGCTCTGTAGCCTAAACGGCTAGATGGATTTTATCCTATGAGGTGTCGCTAGGTTCGTTTTAAGTGTGGGAGTGACATAGGCTATATAATATTTCTATATTGCATTGGCATGGCATACAAAAAATGGCAGGGGAATTGTTTTTTTAAAGTAAGTAAATTTTTAACGCTGTCGAGTTTTTAATGAAACCGTTAAACATGTTGAAATTAATATTTAAGTTTATTTCTAATTCTTTTAAGTAAAATAATATGTCACATTGCCAAGCACTGATCACTTCACATTTCTGTGAGCGTTATGGGCAAGGTACTACAACTGAACACTGAAGGTAGCGTTGAGTATGACATTGGGACGTCAAACACCTCAGTCCCCCTCGTGACCATCGGTGCGGTAAAGAACTCGAAACGTCGGGAATATAAAGTTGCAGCCTATATACGTCCCACTGCTGGGCACAAGCCTCCTCTCATTTCTGAGAAGGTTTTAGGGCAAGGAAATGTCCGCCGCGCTGCCCTAATGCGTGTTGGCAAACTTCACATGTCTTCGAGATATATTTTTTTACTAGCTGTGCCCGCGTAGCTCGCGAATATAGGTTTTACTTAAAGAATTTGACGTTTAGGGTAAGAGAATATTAAACG